GAAATTAAAAGGGAAAAAAACTGCTTCAAAATTAGACCTGCAAAGAATTTTTTCTACATTATTTCCATGAATGAATACTAGTGCTGCCCTCTGCTATACATTTAGAAAACTAAAAGGCATAATTGTATGTATTTTAAATGGAATTTTGCAGCTTTCATCTGGGAGATAAAAACTGATAAAAAAGACAGGACATCTGGTGTCCCACCTGTCTGTCAAAGGGTTAAATGCTGAAAATGTGAAGGCTTGCTATTTTCACTGTATTCAGTGTGAACAATGAAAAATGAACATTAAAAAATAAATTTTTTCCCATAAACAATCATGTTCAGTTTCTGAGCCATCACACGGTAGAAGAGTCATTTTTCAAATATTGCAATAGCATTTGTGAAAATAAAGTCATTGTTAATTCTATTGCAGTAAAATGAAAACATAACTGATAACAAACTTAAGAGCTGTCCGAGAAAAGACGTTACTAGAATGCATAAAATTTTAAAAGGAATTCCTGAAATCAGTGTCACAAATTTAAAACCTGAAAATATGCAGTTCAATATGAAATTCAAAGAAATTAAATAAAAATTCCATTGTCATAAAAATCAATATTTTCAGGAAAAATTTTCTACCTTAAAATTTATTTTACCAATTTAGAGTGTTACATTTTGTTTTGATGGTGAATAAAAGCAGTTTCTTTTGATAGTACAAATAAGTGATTAGATTGAAAACAACTCATTATGTGATTATATTTCTCTGAAATCAGATCACAGAATACCATAAAGGTATTGATTTTTGAAACATTTGGAGTCTGACATAGGCAAATAGGCTGGCTTGCATATTTGGTTTTTATGATTTTCCTCATGTGTAATGTAACTAGGAGCCAGTTTCTTTTAGAAAATTCTCCCCTTAGGCATCCCCTCCCTTAGTATCTCCTCCCTTAGGCAGATAGCCCTTGTGAGCTTTGCCACATGAAATTAACCTGAAGGTAATAATTTTTTTTTTTTTTTTTTTTTTTTTTTTGTGGTTTTACTTTTAGAAAGCTTTCAAATATTAAAAAAAATCTACAAATTTCAGAATTTTTTCTTAAATAATTATAATCATATTTATTTAGTTTTTATTATGATTATTTTACATTCATAGATAACTTTAATGCTCATGCAGATTGTAGAGTCTTCTAGTGGGTTTGGGGATCATAGACTCTACTGAAGACGAGATCATGACTCTACTGAAAGACGAAGTAATGAATTCTTTCTAGGTCTTAGAAGAACAGAGGACTGCAGGAGAAGGTTATAATAACTTTTTTATTTCAACTAAACGGAACAGAAATGCACTCACTCGGAGCTCACAATTTAACCACCACTTGTGGCTAAGTCGCTTGAACAGAAAATAGTATGAACAATCATAATAAAGATTAGCTACACCACTGACTTCTACTTTATCTAACGTGCTAAATAGGTGGCACACACCAAAGCCGAGCCTAGAATATCAATATAATCTTAAGAAAGTAGCTCGCACCAACTATTCAATTACAAAGTCACTAAATCAACCATGCAGCATAAATTCAAAACTAACTCTCCTACCACAAACTCTTAAAACTGCTGCTTAAATACTGTTTCCAAGTTACTTAAATTTGCATATACATCATTAAATTTACATTCTGACAGGAAAACAAAATCAGAAGAGAAAGGAAAGTTTCTTAAACTACAAATAATTGGTTAGAATAAAATAAGGTTTTAACAAGATTACGAAAAATGTTTTTCTAAATTCAAAAACGTACTATGGAACAAAAGATAATACATCTGAAGAAGTTTGTTAGTTTAACTGAACATGATAAAATTTGCGAGTGCTAGCTATTTGAGGGAAGGAATACCTTCACTGAGGACATTCTAAGGAATTATGGCAAAACACTTAAGGGCTATCTGCTTTTAAGGAAGGATGCCTTCATATAGGATTTTGTAATGCAAACTGGCTCATATTTCCTTTACAAATGAGTAAAACCATGAAAACTTTTATGTAACCAACTCTCTTTCACAAGAATTTGAATGGAAATCTGTGTAAATGTAACACCAAAAATTATAATGGAACAGGCTGAAGAGTTCTGAAAAGAACTTTTTATTACTGTTGTTATTAAACACATTGTTAATATATTAAAAAACATTGATTAAAATGTAGCTACTCTAATTCAAATGAAATGTGAAATGCTGGTGCAAAAGTACAGAAGGTTTACCATCACTTTTTGGTGATAGAAACAAATGACGTATGTGTAGTTCATTTAGAAATTTTCTAGTAAGTAGCCGCTTACATTCATCCCCTGTTTTGAGACACTAGTGTTGTGTGGTGCAAGAATCTCTTGGTTTTTTACATTTCAAGGTGGCAGCTATGATATACACAAAGAAAAGACATTTCAAACTAAGTAACATGCAATTAGTTAATTATAAACAGAGCAGTAAGTTGTATGCCAGAAATACAAACTGAAACATTTGGAACACTGTTTCAAAATGCATTGAAATTAAAGCAAAATGTTTATTAACAATTAACAAAGAATTATTGGGTTGGCAAAAAATTAATTTCAGTTTGCACAAATAGATACCGTTATGTTTCTTTCGTTTCCTTCTGTCAATCTTATAATTTTTTCCTTTTAAATTTTGGCAGCTGACACTTAGGTTGCTACAGAAACAAATTTTGTGTATTTTTGTTTACAACTGTTAGTTTTAACATGGGTTGCAAAAACATTTTCGTCATATTTTACATTTTTATTTTTATAAAGGCAAGAAAGTGGCTGAAGCTCACAAGAGATATTTGAAGTTTATAGTGTCTTAACAGAATGCATGTGTCAGAATTGGTTTAAAAAATTTTGTTCTCGAGACTTTTCACTTGAAGATGACCAATGTTCTGCCTGGTCTTCTGAAGTTGATAATGACAAAATTAAAGCTGTAATTGAATTGAAACATTGTGAGAGATTGCAAAAAGGGTAAATGTATCATACACAATAAGTAAAAATGACAAGAGGATTCTTCGATTCGTTAAGAAGCTCGATATTTGTGTTCCACATAAATTGAAAGATATTCACTTAACAAATCAATATTTGTGATACGCATTTCAAACGTAATGCAATCGACCCTTTTTTTAAATGAATTATCTATGGTGATGATAAACAGATCATCTACAATAACATTAATTGTCCAAGCATGATGAATCAGTACAAATCATTTCGAAAACCAAATTACATCATGCTTGTCAATCCAGTGCAGAGTATTTTCAGTTGCTTTCTAGCAACGAAATGATCAATTCATATGTTTACTGCCAATAAGTAACAAAACTGGAGGAAGCAGTCAAACAGAAAAGGCCAGAACCGGCAAAGGAATCATGCTCCTTCATAACAGTGCAATGCCTCACACATCAGCAACACATACAAAATTATTAGAGCTTTGCTGGGAAGTGATTTTGCATCCTCCATATAGATACTATCAGATTATAATTTATTTCGAAGTTTACAAAACTTCTTAAGTTGTAAAAATTTTGGTAATAAAAATGACCTCAAATTGCACTTGATTCAGTTTTTTGTTGATAAAAACCAGAAGTTCTATGAGAGCGGAATCATGAAATTACCAGAAAGATGGCAAACAGTCAACGAACAGAATAGAAGATATTTGACTGATTAAAGTTAATTTTTTTGTATAGAAAAGTTGAGATTTATTTCACAGTAATAAATTGGAATTACTTTTGTGCCAACCTGATAATTATGCTATGTTTGAAGCACACTTTGCAGTTTCTTGTAATTAAAGCACATTTCGTAACATAAGAATTCTGTAGCATGAAAAACATGAAGCATCTTAATGATAATGTCTTAAGGATTAGACATGCCATATTCAAAGATTTGTTCACTAAATAAGAAATGCAGTCTCCTCTGTATTACAAGAAATCATACTCAACCGTCTCCCAGTGCAGATGACATAGTGCATTTGTTTATCTGATTTTGATGGTACCCAAAAAATTGTACTTACAAGTAACTGGTAAATAAAAGCAGACAGTACAAAGTCCAATATCTGGAATCAGTGGGAATTCAGTAATTCCAGATATTTTGGGATTTTAGATTATCAGTTTAAATCTAGCAAGATTACACGCTGACAAGGAAGACACTGGAGCTTCACTTAGGTTAGAAAGAAAAGTGATAATTCCCCATAGATGCACCATTGATTCACCGAAAAAATATTCAAAATACTGAATCAAATTATCGTCACTAAAATTTACCAATATTCCGAGTTTTTCAGTAAAAGTGAAATGAGGAGAAGCAGGAGACATTGTTTCTTCTTCAACACACATCCTTACTGAGCTCATGTCATCATCCTCATCTTCTGTTTTACTAGACTCAAAAAATATCTCCAGAGCTATCATCTTCCAACTCAGAGGTACTACATTCAGTAACCTCAGACTCACTCTCTGAATCCATTATGAAAGGTTTGACATGCAAAAATAACATTAATGAAAGCAAAATTACAGAAAGTACAAAATGATTTCAATTTCAAGGCAGGAAATCTCACTGCAAAAATTTTGAAGAAACTAGGACTAGTCACACCATTTCTTAGCAATATTCAGAAATAAAAAAATAATTGCAGAATTTAAAGTGGCACGTGTGTTAGTGACAAATTCAGTTTCAACGGTGGAATTTTTCACTCTGTCACATGGAATGCAACGCAGAACCTTACGGGCATAAAAACACTGAATGTGTGAGATGCAACGCTGACTTAGAAAGAGCTAAATATCTTTATTTCATGTTTCTGCATAAGAATTACATATGATGAATCCTCTCCGAGATTCCTCCCAGTTCCAGACAATTTTATTGCAATGGTAATTTTTTAAAGTGGATATCTGTTTACATTCTCAAAAATACTGGTTATTTTAGGATGTGATCACCATTACAGGGTTCACTATATTTTTATATCTATATTAGTTTATTATAGTTATATTATATTAGTTTATAATTTTAGCTGTGATATACAATATACAAAATCAAAAGTTTCATCAACTTTTATTCACACATAACACTGATACCCCATATTAGAAAGTTTAAACATTTTACCTAGTAACACTGAACACCTCACCATTTAACATTCTAAGAACGTCACATCAGCAACAGGTATATAAACAAGACAGGTAAAAGGAGACTCAATGGTATCAAAATACAATTATATATACCACAGACAAGAAGTTTTGGAGTCCTTTAGCAACATAGTTATATCACAATACCTAATAATAACAATCATCAAACTCTTTCTTCAATGCCATCACTTTCTGTTACTAGAGCTCGTTCCAAAATGACACGGCCTTCTTTGTATCGCTGATTTTCTTCTGTAGCAAATTCATAGACCCAGCCAAGTTTTGTATCACAGCATTTGCAAGAAACATCACGAACCATGTGACGACCAGTTAGCATGACTCGATCTTGAACTTCACTGTATTAAAGGGGGAAAAGTTTACAATTTAAATAATCTGAATGCTACATACATACATTAAAACATGAATATTAATGTTATTTTTAAGGTAAATTTATGTACTTATCTCAGTTAATGGGGTGCAACTTAGCAACAGACACAAATGTTGGCACAAAATCTAAATAGATGGTGGCAATCCTAATGATATATAAAGCTTCATGCAGAAAACAATTATATATAATTAACTTATAGTTTGTTCTATAACTTACAGTTCTATTATAAGTTTAACATGAACAATGACAAGGCTGTGCACAATTCGGGATTTAAGTAATTTTTAAGTAAAAACATCCGAGAATTGCAAAAATTTGGCATTGTGCATGTTACTATGTATAACAAACAAACTTTTTAGTCCAGTCTAATTTTATATAGACTTAATGTTATTTTATACATCTATAGGGAACTTTCAAAATATATAAAGATCAAATATAAACATTTTTCAAGAATTTCTGCAACTTTCAACTAAAAAGTTGCTAACCCTTGAATTCATTCTGTTTAGGTCACTAAAATAATGACAAATGACTTTACTGCTGTTTTATCTTTATATGCACCTTTCTTTGTGCTCTTAACTATGTGAGGCAGGTGGAGAACTCAATTCTTGTAGAGCTAAGATACACAATAAGCATACCTTAGGAAATCCCAAGGTGTCACGTATTGAGATAAAGAACCATTGATCCATTGAGACAAAGACCTTGAATCTATCTTTCAATTCCATTCAATTTCTTTGATAGAGCTGTCAGTCAGCATCTTGTTCAAGGCACTTTGCTTATTTATAATTGTAAATGGAAATGTGTCATTGGAGGTCTAAATCATGACATCTACGCAAAGTAATTTTTTGCATAAAATAAATTATTTACGCATACTGAAGCTGAAAACGACAAAAAAGAAATTTAGTAATTGCAGGTAATAATAACTGTAATTCATTTTTAACATGCTTTTTAAAATTAAAGTTGCTATTAATATCTTTTAGGAGGTGCAACAATGCTAATTACTCTTTCTGAGTGATTCATCAATCAACTTTTACACTATTTTGTGAGATGATCCAGTTTTTCCTCAAGAGATCAGATATAGCAAACCTAATTTTCAGTCCCTCGAAGTTTGTTATGGTAGGGTTTGACTGTATACATATCAAAACTAATTATTAAAATGACTTCTGGTCCAAGCATATTTGAGTTTATTAAGTGGCTGAGTTTAACAAATGGCAATTTCAATTATGCAAATTATGCTATCAACTTTGAACTTATTTAGTAAAATTGTAACTAACAATTAATACCTACATTATTAGTCAAAAATTAATTATTCGCAAAACTTGAAAATTTATTTTTATTTAATTATTTTATAAAAAAGTTTTATAATTACAGAGTTAAAGAGTTCTTACAGCTTGCAGTGCTTTTCTCGATTCAGCTGTGGTTGGCATATAGTCATTTTCTACCATATCACTTTCACTGTGAGTTTCAGTTTCTGCAGCACTTTTAACACTATTTATAATATTGTATCCAGTGTTTTCACTTACTGTCTCAATATTATCATTAATTGCAACATACTCTAACAACAAATATTTGTAATTTTCCTCACTGATATTCAGAATATTAGAAATAGTCTGCAGCTCCTCTGTGGCTTCTTCTAAATAAAAATTACATTTTCTAAAGCATTATCTAGCTAATTTTGGGAGACTGCTTCCTATGCATTGACTATAATATGCACAGCCTTTAGCAGAGATATTGATTTAGTTATCCCCTTTGAAGTGCTTACATTTTCAGATTCAATTTTGTTTATCTTTTTTTCAATGACACCTCTTCTATAACTACATTTGAAAGCTTTTATACTCTGGTCTAACTCCTGAATGACAGAAGTCATATTTGCAGGAACAAACACTAATTTAATGTTTTCCAGAAATGATATCAGAGTGGTGTGCAACACAGTTACCTAAGAGTAAAGCTATTTTTTCATCCTTCAATTCTCTGTCCGATTTCAAAAGAAAATCAGTAAAAACTCTGCTTGTCATCCAGGAATTCTGTTATTATGGTAAATTAAATTCTTGTCTTCTTTCAAATATCAAAATTTTCTACTCTTCCTGATAACCACCGATGCCTTTTTAATTGTTGCATCCAGACTGTATGTTAATAACTGTAACTCATTCTTTTAATATCTTAAAATCAGCTTCTGTTTTACATCTAAACATAAATGTGTGCTCTGGTAATACTGTAAAACAAACCAATTTTATCTGTGTTATAAAACTGGTTTGTTTTTCAAAGTTAAAAAACCAGTTTCATCTGTGTTCTGTTTCTTTTAGAAACTTAAGTAAAAAAAAAAAAATCTTTAAGCCATTTCTTAGCCGAATGATGATCTGCTCTTTGCTCCTCACCATGTAGTTTCCAATAAAAAATGTTATCTCTCTTTCCATCTTGTGAGCCAACCTTCATGGTCAAAAGAGCACTAGACACTGAAACATTTTTCAGTCTCATAGCTTGAAATCATTCTAGAAGAGCGGTTTCAATGTGTCTCGATTTTCCATTTCTTCTGTGCTTCCTTGAGACATCTGCATTTTTCACTAGTTCTTTATCAGTTTTATTTCTTAAGCAAATTACACAAAGATGTTTGGAAAATCCCCATTTTAAAAGCTGCTTTTCTTTGGCTGCATTATCAAATGCATCATAATAATTTATCCTTTTTTTTTTTTTTTTTTCTCAGGCATTTCCACATGTTACAAATCATGCACATAGCAAATAAAAAATGTTAAAATGTCTCATCCAATGATTTTTTCAAATCCAAAATTCCCATTTCTTACCAGCAGGAAGATTGACTGTCACTGTCAAGCTGTCACTTCATGGTTATTACAGGTGTACTTAATGCTTTTCAGAAGCACTGAATCCGCTTTACTGAAGCACCACATAATTAAAAGATAAATAAATAAACTACAAATAGCTTTTATAAACCACAAACAGTTTATTCCAGATCTGAATAATTAGACTTTTACCAGTTTGAGTTTTATAAGTGGTAGAGATGAGTTTAATAAATGGCAGTTTTCCTACTGATTAGTATATACAGGTAGCTCTTCTACTATACGGCATCCTGTAGCATGAGTCATAAATTGTGAGAACCCTCCCACAACACAGTTTTGCTCTAGCATGATTCGTAAATTGCGAGAATCCTCCCACAACACAGTTTCGCTCTAAAATGAAAATTGCCCACACTACCTGGAGAAATTTAACAAACTTCGCACAAAGTGTTTCCATATTGTGCCAACACTCATATAGTCATTTAACACATAAGAATCCTTGTTTCATAAGTTCTACCAGTTGTCTTCCAAGATCAGGTAGCCATAAGAACAAATGTCTTCAGATGAACAAATGTCCTTAGATGGCACATATGAACAAATGTGCCCAGATAACAGCGAAGAAACCTTACTATTGCCAGAAGCTGAACAACATGAGATCACAATAAGTCCTCTTATATGCACAACTTGCATATTCGGCTTCTAAAATTCGAAACCTCGTCTCCATGGCCCGAAAACAACAGTGTCTCACACTGCTGGTCGGCAGTCTGCATCGAGCCACGGTGTGTTAAGGAATAACTTTTTCATCTTTAAGACATTAAGTTTCAGTCCTCAAACATGTCCGATAAAGATTAAAAAAAAAAATTAAGAGGACCTTTAGCTGCCTTCGAAATCGATTGAGTGTTTTAATATATGTACGCTAAATACAAGGTTATTATTGCGATTTCGATTTAAGAGGAAATTCATTTCTTTAAAAGTATAGATACAAATATTGGACCGTCTTTTAAAAGAAGAAAAGGCATCTGACATTGAAAAAAGTTTTAATTGGAATGAAGAAACAGTCCAGACTATTAAGAAAAATGAAAAATCCCTGGGGACGTTTCAACATCCGCAAAATGTCCCCAGGGGAGCCAGTAATTGAAAAGATGGAAAAGACATTCAGCATTTGAATTGATCATAGCTGTCAAACAAGAATTTTGTTGGATGGTAATATCATTAAACAAAAAGCACTCAAAATTTTCAAGCACCTCAAAGAACATGGAGAGACCTCTGTCAACCCAGATTTTCTGGTAAGTAAAGGTTGGTTCGAAAATTTCAAAAAACATTTTGTAATTCACAGCATAATTCAATGAGAATTTGCATTGGTTGATTATGAAACTGTTAGGACGTTTCCTGAAAAATTTCAAAATATTATAGAAAAACAAGGATACACAGCAGTCCAAGTTTTTGATACCGACAAAACTAGGTTTTGGTGGAACAAAAATGTCCAGCAGAACCTTTATATTGAAAAAAGAAAAAAACTGCATCCTGATTTAAGGTGTCTAAAAATTGTCTAATGCTATTTTTGTGCAGTATGACTTTGAACTTTATGACAAAACCCTTGTTAGTTTATAGATCTTTAAAACCTTGTGCACTTAAAGGTGTAAATAAAAACACCTTACTGATATATTGGAAAGCAAATCTAAGAGCTTGGGTAGCTGCGAATACATTTAAAGATTGATTTTTAAATTGTTTTATGCTAGACACTGAACGTTATTTAAGGCAGAAAAATTTGAGCTTCAGGGTGCTTATTACCATTAGATAATGTTCCATGTCACCCAAAAAATTTGAATCATCCCAATGTCAAAATACTGTTCCTACCACCAAACACTACTTCATTACTCGAACCATTGGATAAAGGTATTATTTATACCTTTAAAACATATTACATAAGAAGAGCATTACACTAGGCTTTATACGTAGTAACCGATTCAAAATTGATTATGTAATGGAAGCTTGGAAGATATTTTCAATCAAGAACTGAATCGACATTGTATCTTTATTGCTGAAAGAACTGAAAGCATCAACGTTAAATGCATGTTAGAAGAAGATATGGCCCTCTTCAGTTGAAATAGAAAATGCGCATGAATTGTCAGAAAATGAAATTGGTGATATATTAGAACTTCCTAAATCAATCAGAGCCGAAGGT